TTCTCACAAGGCTAAACATTCTACAGCCAAATTAATTATTATACTGCCACTAATGGCTTGGACTAATGATGTTGCTAATGCTGTTCAAAAGAGTCGTTGTTCCTACATATGCCTGTTAATGTAAGAACACCCCACAAATCCACAAGCTTCAAAATAACTCTCACCTTTCTAGGTTTCACCTGCTTGACTTTGAGTTTATTCCTCTGAATATGTTAAGTCACAGAATCCTAGCATATTTTCAGGTAGGGGGCGGAAAGACAAACTTAAAGCAAAGCTGTCATATTCTGCCTTAAATGCTAGTAATTTTTAGCTTTGCTTCTAAAAATGTATATACGATTCATGCAAGAGCTTGCTGGTTTTATAGTGTGATATCAATTTTTGTTGTTTAGGCTCATGTTAAATTTAGAGCTAATACTGAACTGCACATAATTTACTCACTTGGTAATTTACTCTGCTGGGATTGTGCCATTGCAGGGAGGAGACTATGGTTTTTATCCAGTGTTAGTCTACTGTAAGCCTCAGTCATTTCAAGAGCTCTACTCGAAGTAGGATTAATATTGGATCCAAACCTGCATGTCTCAGTGGTTCCCCTTCTACATGAAATTGGTGTTTTGGGGGAACCTTCCAGGCCAGACCACTCTATATGCACTCATTTGGCAAGAGGAGATCCGGCTCTTCTAAAAGGAATGATCTGTGGAGGCAGCCATTTCTTCCCTGTGGTTCTAGAAATGCCCTGGCTGAACCTTTGGAGGCAGGGGACGCCAACTATTTGTGAACTCCCCTCGCTGGGTAGAAATCCCCTTATAGAGCCTCGACGTTAGAATACGAGGCTCTATAAGGGCTTACAAGACTATAAGGGCTCTATAACGTCCCCAGGGAGGTTCGCCTGGCACTGTAGCTTTATTCTTTTCCATGCCAGGTGAAGACTTTTTTAATTTCCCCAATATTTTAACATTGGTTTTATCTTTGATTTTATCATTAATGGTTGAATGCAGTGTGTTGTGTGTTGTATGTGGTTGTTTTTTGTTAGCCTTCCATAGTATATTGGATGGCATATTAAAAGAATAAATACATAAATAGCAGAGGCTATAGTATTGGATGGCATATTAAAATAATAAAAACATAAATAGCAGAGGTACTGAAACTTAAGGCGTGACAGAAGCAAATTCCCCCCATGGTTTAAACACCCCCCAGACCCCACTCTCCCCCTTCCTCAGCCACCAACCCGGGGGCAGTTTCCCCGCTTTTGTGTGTTCCCTGCCCCCATTTTATATGGCTGCAATGTCTCTCCTAAGCCTCAATTAATGCAGTTTTCTGGCTAAAATATGCAGGTATGTTTGGACCACCCCCTTTCCCCTCTGAGCTCGCCCCTTTTTGTCTTCAGATTCACCTATCTCTTGTGAGCATCTCCAAAATGGAATTTGGGCCTTAGGCTGAAAGTTCAGTACTTATTTGCTGTTTTTTACAATCTTAGCAGAGATAGGGAGCGGTCCCCTGAAATGCAAACTCTGGTCCAACGGATGTCCCAGCTTCGGACTAATGCTCACCTTTGCTTTATTTTCATCCACCCTGTACATGAAGTGAGGCAATGTCACCATGACTCCTGTAACATACAAAACAGACTCCACTTGGAGCAGGCGTTTCAAAACACTGATTGGGAAGCTCCTATTTTTAGTATGTTGTCTTGTATGAATAATGATAGGAAGAGAAATTTTGCATTTGAGAAGCAAGCCGAGGATAGTGATTTTTCTTCTTTTGAGGGAGTAGCGCTTGTATTTGAGGGTTTTTTTTTAACTCTTTCTGACTGGTGAGAGAATGCAACCTTTGGAAAAGGACAGAAATATGAGTCCAGGAGCAAATATGCCAGTATTGTGTTGGTAGTAATTGTCCATTGTTGCCACACATGGGCCTGCCCTTGGAAGAAATTTTCCTTCCCCTGCATGAAGAAGTACTTTTTTGCCCATGGGTGGAAATTTTGCCCTTTCACTTTGTGAATGCCTCTTTTATTCTCATTTAAACCTTTTGTGGTGTTCAAATGCATTCCTCCTTTCTATCTGGGTCTGCTTTGATCCAGCTTTGTAAGAAAACAATGGTCAACATATCCATAATTCTTTCTTCACATTTAACATAAGCATGTCAAGATTTCTTGGGCCCAATCCAAGAAATATTCTTGGATCAACGTTGGCATCCAGACCAATAGGGACATTGAAAGACATTTCCCAACCCAACCCCACTGTTTCTAATTAAGATTCCCATTTCTTCACCAAAGTTTCAGAATCACACTAGGAACATACATTAAGAACCAGTTTAATTTTTATTTTGTCTTTTAAATGTGATTACACACATTCAAGTGTCTTACTAAAATTCTGCACTGTTACATTAAAGATACAGTACGATAACATTCAACTTGAGGTACTTCATATTTATATATATCTGTCCTTCATAAATAATGCCATCAATTGCTATAGTCAAGCACAGTTCCAAACACACTGTGGTGCTGTTGTGTCTGAAATAACAATTATAACATAAAAAATCAGTGCAATAGTACTGTAGGAATTAGAACATCACCTAAATAGTATGTCAGATATGCTTAAAGTATATTACAGCTCAACTCAGAGTTTCCCTTCCCCTTCCAGCTTAGAATGTAAAGAGAGGTTGGACATAAATTAAATGGCATCCACAGTTGTTTTCTCATCACCGCAGGTTTTGTTCCAGTTATGATGTTTAGTGCTTTAGAAGAATAAGTCAATATGGTCAGAATGCACAAATATAGGATGCTGCCTTTCTCTTTAGGGTGCAAATCTCTCACTTGGTAACCATTTTACTGGGTTACTTCCAGAGTGATGCCAGCAACCTTATGCTCCAATCCACAAACCAGTTAAGGCAAGGTGGGGAACCTGCAGTCCTCTGCACACAACTGAGCCCTCACTCCCATCATTCCTGACACTGGCTGTTGAGACGCAGTACACAGTACTGCCCAGTAGCCCAGTACACTGGCTGAGTTGGGACTGAGGGGAATCAGCGTCCGCCACATCTGCAGGTCCTTGGACTCTCCACCCTTGATCTGGGGCAACCTAGTTTGATGAATGGAACCCAACCAGGGAACCTAGGAAAGATCAAGGACAGAATTCAAGGCTGCTTCATTGCTATACAGAAAAGGCAGTCATTGTAGTGGGGGTGGGGTGGCAAGCACCACCTACTTCATTAAAAGCGCAAGGGTAAAGCTGAATACAAGAGCTTAGTGTTAATATGAACTGCATCCCTGGCGGCCGCTTTATGCACGCAATAGACACAGGTCTGGGGTAGGATGCAAAGTCCCACGCTCACGGTGACCTCCTGTTCACAGGGGAATGTTCTGCACCAGCCTGGAGATTTCCCAAAGGGAGAATGAAGCACTGCCTTGCTCTTGGAAGAAAACAAGGAAGCCTCTTCACACGGCCATTTGTGCACTTCAGAGATGCAGAATAATGACAGCGTACTTATTTTTAATTAGGCACATTTCCTTGGGCACTTTATTAATTCTAGAGTGAATTCCATCACGGATGGGGATCTGCAGCAAAAAACTCAACTGGCTAAATGTTTTGTGATCCACAGGAAGGCGCGAATGAACATCCACCTTACACTGAGTCATCCAACCTAGCTTTCCCCAACCTGCCCACCAGGTGTCTTGGACTGGCGTCTGCCTCAGCCAGCATGACCACCTGTCAGCAATGCTGGGAGTTGTCATCCAAGATGCTTGGAGGGAACCAGGTCGAGAAAGGGTCGGTACAGCTCATTACTTTCAACACCGACTGTCAGCAACTCTTCAGGGTTCCAGGCAGTAAACCTGGAGATACAGCGGGATTGAAACTTGGATACAAAGATCCTGAGACCAAGTAAATGCAGTACAGGCCAGCACACTTGTCGCCAACTATTTGGGGAAAGAGGCTGTACCCAGGACGCTCACTAGGTTCCTCCATGGAGGGCAGTATTTGACCATTTCTAGGGGAAACAGCAGAATCCTAGAAGTCCTCTTTCCCTTCTTTGTAGTGTTGCTATTGTTTGGGTTAAAGTGTGACTTTAGGAAGAATTAATTTGGCTGAATTTCATGGTGTTCTCTACATAACCAATTTTGAATGCCTTCGTTCCTATTCCCTACTCTGAAAATGCAGGCTTACCTTTTAGTTCTCTGGGTATTCAAGAGGCGAATAAAAGAGGGGGGAAAGCCCATCTCAGATAGCACGTTGGGATCAATATATTAGTCCTCTTGAGCTTTCATTGTGATCGCACAGCTATTTTTCATAGTGATTCATCTGAACAGCCTCTCAAGGGAAGTCTGCCTCGCTGGCTCCATCACTGCTTGTGTTTAGGCAGGCAGTAATGCAAGTTTTATTCCGGAGGGTGGGGGGACTTTTTAGGGCTTTTCAAAATACTGCCACTGCCTTTGAGGGGTTTTATTTTTTAGTCTTTTACAAAGTGTGCTCTGCATTTCCTAGTTTTAGTGATATTTTTATTAATATGTATTGCCTTTATTTTGATTGCAAGCCCCCTGAATATGTTAGAAAGGCACGCTGAAAATAATAAAGATAATTCATATTAGAATTGGCCTTAGTTTTGCCATTTTAAAAGGACTGAAATTACCAAAATGTCTACCTTCACTTTTAGTGTTTAAAGCATCAATCCATACATATTTCCCTGGGAGAAAGTCCCAGGTAGACATGTGCAGTAACTCATGAAGAGGCACCAAAGATAAAATGCACAGGAATGAATAAAAAGATTCAGGTTCTCAAACCGGCAAGGGGCACTCTCATGAAAGCTGTGACTTTTTTTTTTTTTTAATTTCTTATGGTTGCAGAGAGAATTTTTAAACCCCTTTGCAGTCTGTGCCTGGAATGCAAGTTGGGGTTTTTTAAAGCCTTTATTTATATATTTATTTATATCCTGCCTTTTCCCTACAAAGGGCTCAAGGCAGCTTACATCATTCTCCTCCTCCAACTTATCCCCATAATACCCCTGTGAGGTAGGTTGGGCTGAGAGTCTGTGACTGGCCCAGAGTCACGCAGTTGGCTGCATGGCTGAGCAGGGACTCGAACCCAGATCCTCTGAGTCCCAGTCCCATGCTCTTAACCACGACACCACACTGGCTAAAATGTTATCAATTCAAAGCCAAATTTAACACATTTCAAACCAGGAACTCATCTCATTATTATTCTGCCCCCCCACCCCCAATCATGCACAATTCCAGGCCTCTTGATCAACTTAAGTGGCTCAGCTTCTAGTAATCATATTCTACCTCTCCCAAAGCTGTCTGTTCTACCCTCCTCTTCTTGAATGTAACTAATATCACACTTTTTATATTACCCCAAGACATGTATGTGTTAGCCTTTTTTGACAACTGGTAAAACCTTTTATTTTCACTGGCATTACACTCCTATAGTGAAAGTGATTGTGTGCTGAATGGCACGGCCACAAAAGCATGTGTTTTAGCATTGCGCTATGGTGCAAGAACTACTCCTCAAAGTGAGACAAATATTTATTCACAGCTTGGCATTAAAGTGCTGTATGATTTTCACTGCAGTTTTCAGCTTTAAACGAGCGAAATGCCCCTCCTTACAACCAACAAGGGGAGGAGATGAGTGAGGATGCAGTGCATCTCCATGACCCCTGGAAAGAGAGGCTGCGCTGTGCAACCCAACATCAGAGAGCTGAATCAATCTCCCTTCCCAGCCACGCTCCTACCTGCACCCAGGTAATTTTTCTCTGTGGAAAAATTTGTGTTTAGGGGAAAGATAAAGCACTCCATGCAGATACCATTCTGCAGGGAGGAATAGGGGACCTCAGGCCAGCCATGCACTTCAATGGGGCATTAAGGAAAAGAAGCAGTCTGCACCCGCCATCTAGAGGCTGAAAAGGTGCAGGGCACCAGAAATGCCACGCAATCCAAGCAAGACAACTGACTTCTAGACATCTGATAATGGGTTAAGCACCACTGTTTCCTTCCTCGGAGCAGGGAATGCCATGTTTTTATTTGCGGTTCCTGGAAGACACATTATGTTCTTCCAGGGATGTTTATGTGTTTATGTGTTATTATGTTTATGTGTCTTCCAGGAATCCCAAATAAAAAGATCTGCAGAGGCTTCGCTCCTGTGTTATATAGAGACTGTTTCCTCATATGTTGATCTTGCCCTTCCTCCAAGTAGCTCAGGGTGGTGTAAATGCCCCCGCCTTCCCATTTTTCTCCCTGTGGTTATCATCTGAAGAAGGATAGGCTGAGAGAGACTAGCTGAGCCAAGGACATCTAGGAAACTTTGGGACTGAGCAGGGATTTTAGCTCAGGTCTCCCACTTCCTCTTTGGCTTCCGGGTTGAAGCCGGCTGTATTCCGTTACATCCACTCAGTGCCAGTTCTGGGTTCTGGAAGGCCCTGGGGCAAGTCACCCCAAGTGAACGCCAAACTTTGTGAGCCTACCTTCTCACAGCCGTGGTCCCCAGTTTTGCTCCTGCTGCTCATCCTCTGCCCCAGCACAACTACCTCTTGCTTCTTGACAGGCAGGGAGCCCAGAAGCGGATTGGCAGCGGCATCTGCTCCCCCCACCACACATTGCTGTCTGCACCACAGCGAGAGGTGCATGAGCAAGGGAGCCACAATGGCAAGGAGGAGAAGCAATTCCAGGGGCCTCTTGTCAGTGGTCCCCTGCTGAAAGGCGGGCCTTTGGCAGGCATCCCCCCATGCCTGTCCCAGATGCCAGCCTTGCATCTGGCTGGCAAGCACTGCCTGCACTTTCTGGGAGGATCTGCACACCTGAAAAACAGAGCAAAATATTTATAGTATAGAACCTGACATCATTTAAATGTCAAGGAAACATTTGGGCTTGGAGAATGCCCCGCCCCATGCTTTTCTTAATGTTCAGCATGGCTAAGGACAGATGGTTGAAAGATGAGATTTTCCCATGTCCAAGTCAAGCTGCATTTACTTATCATGTTTTGGACACTGCAGATATTTAATGGCACTTCAAGACTGCCAGGAATCAAGATTACAGCAGGTGTTTTTTTTACAGAAGCAGCACACTAACCAGTAATGTGGCATGCATGGAAAGAAGCATCTTTTTAATAGTTCTTCTATTAAGTTTTGTGTTAGGGGAGTACACTAGTACCTTGAACAGTGCAACAAGAAGCACTGGTGCTTACTTGGTGTTCAGCTTAAAGCATGGTGTAGGAGAAAGACATTTCAAATTCTCTTCGCGGACAGAAAATTGGGACAACTCAGCCTTGGAATACTAGTGTAAGCAACTTCCTAGCTGTATGAATTATGGCTTGCCTTTTTCAAAGTGTGCCCTTTACTTCATCAACACAAAAAAATTGCTCCTTATCCTTCAGTTATGTTTGCTTCCTTGCAAAAGGTTTTACCACCAGTCAGCCAATGGCCCTTTCCTGCCAAGAATGCAGATTGTTCTAAGGGGAGCCTGACACCCAATTTTTAAAAGGGGAAAAATGCTTCTGGCCAATGAAAACCTGAATTTCAGATGTGAACGGAGATAAATTAAACTGGCAAAGTTTGCATCACAAATGTCCCTTTTTCACACAGTGCTGGCAGATACCACATTCAGTATAAACACACAAAAACAGAGCCTACCCATAAACTCATATTTACAAATAGGTTACTGTAAGTGTTATAGAGATTTATCCTATGGATCCTACTCAAAGCAGAGCAACCACTTATAGCTGTCATAGGTACTTTGCAGTAGTTGAAGCATAATTTACCCAAGTCATGTTACTGTCTGATCTCAGAGATGCACAGTATTTGGGGACATTCTTAAAACCTAGAGATCTGGAGCATCTACAAAACCAACAAAACAGGGTTAATATTAACATTCTAGGTACAGCTACATTATATTCAGCCTAGGTGCTTCCTTAGAAATGAAGAAGTCTTAGTAACCTACTTTCTTCCACCCATTTAATTACCCAATTAGTTAATTTAATTTGTGTAGCATTAATAATATTCAAGCTTGTGTTAAAGGGAGAAACCAAATGTCACCACAGACCCAATACATTCCATTGCAATTTACAGCAATATAATCCTCCAAACATTTCTGTTTTTTACTCGGTTGGGAAAAGAAATCCCATACTAAAGGGTTTTCAACTACCTTTGGGAAAATACAGCTCATGAAATTAATTATTTGTGTGCGGTGTGGGGGGGGGAGGGGTTGCTGCAGATTGTCTAACTTAATGGAAAAAGGATTAGTGCCATAAAAGGCAGTCACTGTAATGGCTGCCAAGCTTGATGAAATGAGGAAATGCTCTTTTAAAAAGTAAAATAGCTGCTATCCTTGAGGCACCGCCATGGTGTAAACACCATTCACTTCAATGCACTAGTTTTAGGACAGGCAACCTGGTGCCCCCCAGATGTTTTGGACTAACCGACTGACCCCGCCCCACAGAAGCCCTGCCCGCATGCCCAGTGGCCGGGGAGTGTGGGAGCTCTAGGTCGGAGGGGCTGGGGGGTGCAGCTGTTCCTTCCCAGCAATGAAGGCCACACCGGGCTAGCACTCCCACGCTTAACAGGATGTGTTTGGGAAGGGACTTTGCAGGCAGCACACGGATCATCAGCTGTGCCCAAACCACTCTGCTCCTTACAGGTATCCACTCACCCTCCGCTGTACTTACTCCGACACAGTTAAATGGGAGAGACCCGTATTCATAGGGCAGCTAAGTGCTATCTGCAGCTTTAGAAATCAGGTGTTTCCTTTCACGAATCCCTCGTGTTAAAAGAGGCAGATCGGTTCAATTACTGCACCTTGCTAACATCAAGGTGGCGTGTGGAAGAAGACCCCAGAGATAAGAACTGGCCTGTGTGGCAAAGGCGCATGGCTGCTGAATCAGCACTGAGTAAAAGTGACGTGAGCATCCAAGTGACAGAGGCCTAAAACTACCAAGAAACTTGCCATTGGAAAAGCCTCCAAGATGAAGGAGATGTAAATATAAATCAACAGGCAGGAAACAGGAACAAGCTAGAGACAGAAAAGAAGACATGTCGCATGGAAGGAGAACACTGATTTGCTTTTCTTACATTATACTAAGGCCATTCCATCTATGGTACGACTGGACTACTCGGACCCTTAATTTGCTAGCTTGCATGTCCTTGGAAGCTTCCAATACAAGAAGAATTTCACATCAGGCTATAAAAGTACAGCAAGTGTTGGACTGTTCACTGCACTTAGGAACATATTACCTGGACTCATCACACATCTGCAGACAACAAGCTAAGCATCAAATAGCTCTGAACCAGGCCCATACATCACGAGATGGCATTCTCCTTCGGGTGGAAGTCCTCACTTTCACGCATAAAAGATGAGTTCAGGAATCTGCCCTCCCTGAACTCCAGTGCCATTGGTACTGTCTGAAGAGCACTGGAATTGCACGGTCACTTTGCCACACTGAACCTCCGTCATCCCTTCTTGTCCGAAATAGCTGAGTTCGTTGCCATCCAGAATCACGCTGGCCGTATAGAATGTGTCTGGCTCGATCTGCACTGGATACTCGAACCACACTGGGAAAGTGTTGCTCGATCCATCTGAGAAATACTTGCTCAAGTTCTGCCCTAGGATAACCCCTTGCCGCTTGAGTTCAATCTTTGCACTGTACTCTGCTGATCCACAGCTGGAGCCGTAGAGGCCAAAGCCGGCAATGAAAACTCTTTTATCAACGGCGAACTGGATGCTGTCGCAACGGCCCCTGTAGCGCCACTGGTTGCTGCGGTAGGCACAAGACTGGAAGCGATGGCAGCGTTGCGGGACAAGGCCTTTCCGGGCATTGCTGACGAACTGCAGCTCTGGTTTTTTGGCAGCTGTGTACCAGAGGAAGATATCGTTTGTTTCATTGAGGGTCAGAATACCAGACTGAGCAGCCCCATTTGCAAAGTCATCAAGCGCCATCGTAGGGATGCGAATCAGATAGAGCGCCTTCCCAAGGACTTTGCGCTTGTTGTCAATGCTGGCAGGCAATTCTTGTCGTTGGCACTCAACTTCGGCCCAACTAAGAGCTGCTTCAAAAACCACAATCTCTTTGGCATTCAGAGTCTCCCTTTGGAGAATGCTTTCAAGTGTTTGAAAATCAATGTCACAGAACCCTTCCGATTTCAAAGCCAGCTCTGCCTGGGCATCAATCACTTCCCAGCAGCGCTCAGTCAGGTCCGGTTCCTCGAATAAGCAGCTCTGGGAGAGCAGCACGCAAGCATTTTTTGCGCTGAGGCTCGTCTCTAGGAAGTTGACGCACGCTCGGGCGAGATGAGGAACGATGTACTTCTTGGCAGCATAGAGAGTTGCCAGAACTGTATCAGCAGCCAAGTCAATCTCATCGCAGTATATGTATCTGTAATAAAAGATACACATGTGATCCTATAATTCAGCACACAGAACAGAGTGAACAAGCCACACACAGGCTAGTCAACATTCCAGAAAGTAGAAGGGGCATGTATGAAAACACTCGCACGTCCGTTTGGTGCCTGCTTGCATCAACCCTTCATTCGTAGGGCTACCAACCATATTAATTTCAGTAAATATTTCCTAGTGAAAGTTATCTTTTTCTTTTTCCCCATACTGGCTATTGCTTTTATCTGTTGTTCTATCCGTGACCCACAAAAGGTTCTTTATGAACCAAACCATGATACTTGGGTGGGTACGGCTGATGCAGAAATAGGCTGGTAGGGGTGGGAGGTCATGAATTGGACTTAGGCATGTGCTGACTTCATTTGCATCCAGCGATGCTGCAGACAGTGGATTTGCGTGCGCAAGCACACCACGGAGCAGCTATATGATTGTCTGAAAACGTGAAGTTGTCGGGGAGCAAAACAGATAAAGACAAGTCTGTTTTCTGTGTGGTCCTTTGGGAATAAATGACACAAATCTACCCTGGTGTGCTTGATTGGATGCTAGACATTCTCGCTAAGGGTGGGGGTGGATTTCCCTTAGAACTGGCTCTTAGTGGTAAAATGACCATGGTATAAATATTCAGATGTCTCTTTGTTTCTGATGAGACACCTGCTGGGGCTGCTAATTAATTTCATGAAAACCCATGCAGCTGCAGGGAGAAGTCCTGCAGAGAAAACTTGGTATTTTCCTTTGTAGTAGTCGAAAAGGGTTAACCAACTCTGGGCATGCCTGGAAAGTTGGGGAGGCTTGCCTGGCTTGTGGCCTGTGGTCTGCTTGAGAGTTGCTGAGATCAGGAGGTTTCCCCACCCATCTGTGAGCCAGGCAATGCCGAGAGGCCAATGCCAGCCCAGGAGCACTGTGAAGTATTTGGGATGTCAGCCAGTTACTGCTAGAGCATGTGGGGAAAAGCTAGCCAAGATGGGGCTTGCCCTTGCTCATCCCCAAGAATGACTGCAGCTTCTCCAAGAAATCACAGTTAACCAAAACAGCAACTTACTTACCTGTCAACATGAACTCTGCATTGCCCTATGAGTGGGTTCTTAACTTTCAAACCCACCCGCTGTAGCTATTCCATTAATTTGCCCTGTGATGAACTATAGTGGATATTACAGGGAAAAAATGGTATTCACCGAACACACGGTTAACATTTGGAATCTGCTGTCAGAGGATGTGGGCACTGGCCACTGGTTTGATGGCTTAAAAAGAAGTGTGGACAAATTTATTCCTATTGGGGATCCCTCTAAATGGTTGTTAGCCGTGATAGTTAAACTGAAACTCCAGGTTCAATGGCAGTGTATCCTCAAATGCAAGAGAGAGAGAGAGAGAGAGAGGGAGGGAGGGAGGGAGGGAGGGAGGGAGTTGTGCCCTGCTTGTGGGCTTCCCTAGCAGCTGGCTGATGTTGGAAAAGATACTGGATTACGAGGACTCCTCCTGTCAGAACGTATTTTCTTGTTTCCTACGACAGCTGCCAAAGTAATCAGATCACTCAAGGGAGCTAACCCAGCTGCCACCTCCTCTTCTAGTTTCCCTCCTAGGCCTGTTGCTGAGTGTCCTCCCAAGGGAACTAGGCAGGAGTGAAGTCCCACATGTGGAAAGTTTCCACTGGTTGTGTGTCTTCTGGTGGTAAGGGAACACAGGTGCCGCAAATGGGGCAAGAATGCACCTACCCACTATGAGTCCCTGCACCTGCCCAGAGCTCATGTAGTTCATCTCAGGGAACAGGAGATTCAAAACCAAAAGATTTGCCCCAAGCACGCAAACACACCCCTGCACCTTGTGCCTTGGCTGGCACAAGCCAACAGGGCTTCGGATGTGTGGTAGATCCTCCACATCGCTCCTCCCACCCAAATCCCTCCTAGCATTCCTTGGTGAGGATCTAATTTGCAGTCATCCACATAAAGAGACAATAATCTACAGCAACCGCAGGGTGATTTCTCTGTTTTATTTTCTAAAAAAATGAAACTAATATTTTAACGGTGGAATTGCTTCAGGATTCTTTGATGGATTAAGGGCAGCTGTCAAATAAATGTTCCAGTAGTTTAAGTATGGCGTATTAGTTTTCATTTCTGTGTCTGGAAAGTAAAAATGTACAGTTTTCTTTCTAGGGGTTATATTCAATGTTAGCTCTACTGAGAGAAGATCCATGGGAATGAATGGGACTTTAAATTATCACTAATTGCATAACATTCATTTCAGTGGATGTTTCTGCTTCCATTTTAGATTAGCCATGGTATAATATTACTTCTGAATAACTTTAAACTGTGATTGGATTGAAGCTGGCTTTTTCCCCATGAATCTTAATTAAAACTAACTTCACTTTGTCCGCCTTCAGATGTCACAACAAGCAGTGGTTAGTCTAAACTGGAAACAAAAGCTTCCACATTTCTGCTTGTAGCTGCACTGGAAAATGAAGGATTAGTGCATGAACCAAGCCTTGCTATGGCTTGTGGTTGTTTTGCTGAACCCTGGCTAAACACAGCCATCTGAACAATTCTGCATTTCTCATGTTGCCAGCAGAAATCTATCTAACTATGCAGTTCATGTTGTTCCATTGTTAGTTTATCTGACAGGAGTCCAACATCAGGCAAATGATGAATTTTAAACATAATTTTATTAGGATGAATCAACCAATCTATTCTTAAGTCCAGGTTTTTAATACTGTTAACAGCAAGTTAACATCAAGTACACAGATGAATACTCCTGGGGGTTTTTGAAATCAAAGGCAGATTGAAATCAATGGGAGCTAAGTGTCCATGAATATCTAACAAACTGTGTTCTACTTGAGTATTTCTCCTAGAACCTGCATTTAGCAAAAGATAACTATGTACAGCTGAGTTCTGTAGATCATTTTCTGAGACTATTATTAGTATATGCCAAAAAAATTTAAGCTCCTGTATCTCCTATGAAGCTCACATATCTCTACCAGTGCAAATAAGCTATGTAGATAGTTTTTAGCTGGCAAGATACCATTTTCATCAAGAACTAGCATGCATCTTTGAATACTAAATGCACAGACAAGATCATCTTTAGATTTCAAAAACATTTAGCCACAAGTAATCATACAGCAACATTTTGCTGGCATGCTCCATTCCATCATCTCTTTCATAGGAAAACCTTTTATAGGAAAACCTCAAACAATTTGTGGGCTGACTAAAAGCGACATAAACATTCTAAGAAAGTGACAAAGCTTTACTACTGTCAGAACAACCTGGTCAGGAGCTTAATACCTAGTAGTTAGATGGTTAGCCAAAGTAGGGGTGAAAAATCAATGGCATGCTGAAAGTATTCTTAGCAGACATGAGCAAACAGCAGACACAATAAAATACACCACAGAAGAAATCAATGAATACTTTGTCTATAGGAAATTTCCAGATATGCCCTTCAACTTTAAATCCTGAATTTATAGACAGCACAGTAGGAAGGCAACTTGCATTTTCTTACATCCCACTCATCATGCAAAGAGAAACAAGCCAGATGGAGTGAAGAATCACACAGACGCGCGCACATACATACAAAAATTGCACGTGCTGTTTTCAGTTTAAGTTTAAAATGCAGCAACCTCATTTAGAGAAACTTATTATTTTAATATTGCTACCATTCACCCACCCTATCAGAAAATATGTTCTTTTATATCTGATAATTTCACAGTATTGAAAACTGAGTTAAAGTGAACACAAATATCAAGGAACCATGAATTTACCAAAAAAAAAAAAAAAAGTAGCATAAAATGAAGAAGAAAACAACAGTTTGAAATCTCTCCTTTTCACCATGTTTTCAAACTGTTCCTCATGCTATCCCATTCTTCATGTACTGTATTAATAAACAATTTACCCAAAGTTGACAGCTGAGATGGCAGGCTATGAGTGTGTGGACAGGGGGAAGAGAAACAGAATATGTAAATAAAACGTTTTCAGTAATTTGCATACAACTATGGGCACCAGTTTTCTGAGCAATGACTGAATTTCTGTTTCTGTTTGTTAGTTTATTATAATGCCCAGCTTTTGGGCTTTGACATTACTAGCAGATACAAACAAATTCAGTTCCACCAATGAAGAAGTACGCTTACTTTAACATAGCGAGGAAAGCAGCAGGTTCCACATCTGGAATACGGATTTCATCCTTATCTTCAGCAAGCTCTCCATAAAACATTGCATGGAATACAGAGCTTCCAACTGCTAAGACATACTGTTCAAAAAGGGAAATATTTCACATTTTAGAGCAAAATCCATTGCCAGCAGAAAAGCTAGTCACAGTGACCATTAAAATGAGACCATAAAGGCAAAAATCAGAAATGGGGGAATATGGCCTATTTTCACTTTTTTACTCTCAGTGTTGATAGGAAAGCTGCCTAAGAGAATTGTTGCGTTCTCCTTTTGCTTTTAGAAAAACCTGCACAGTTTTTGAGTATACTGCTTTCCTAGAACAGTGCAAACCACACTGAAAGCCAGTGTGCTGTCATGTCATGTGGGGATTCCTGGGTTCGAATCCCACCCATGGTGTGACCTTGAACAAACCACTGTCCAGTCCATTTCATAGGGCCATTGGAAGGAGGAGAGGATGGTGTTTAAAAAAAATCAAGAAAACAGTATTTTGTTAGTGATAAACATCTATCACAGTTATTTAACTAGAAGGGAGACTGCTAAACCATTTCACTAGGCAAATATGCTTAAAAGCTGCTATAATTAGGTCAGTTCCAGACCCGAAACCTCCCACATTAAGTTAGAATGGTAATAATAGATGTTCCCTTCACTTTTCCCATGTCAGAACTGGTAATGCAGCTGTTGCTTACTTTGTGTCCTGGCAAACGCTGGGTCCCACCTGGTGGCCCAACCACAAAATGAACATCTGCCATCAAGTCATTGTTGAACATCACTGCATTTCTACAAACAGAGGCAATGTGTTAATTTTGTTTAGCATCCAGTTCCCTCCCCAGATCCCTACAATTCTGCCCCTTAAAAACTTTCAATGTTTCTACAGTAACCATGAAAACAAAAACACAGAATACATTTTAAACGGCTTATTGTACTTAACCCTTATTATGTGTGTTTTAAGTCTATTAGAAGAACTTCAGAAGAACTTCTGTAGAAGTAAATAAAATATGCTAAATTGTGTGAGCAACTATGAAGATTAATACAGTGACAATGTGCTTTCATGATTACAGATAGCTAAGAGGCTAAAGCAAGCCAGCCTGCATGTGAATGCATTTTTTGCCAGAAGAAAACAAGTGCACAATTGGAAAAAAGAAACATTTCCCTGTCTTTTCAGCACAATGGAAGAAGAAAAGGTACGGTACTAAAACAGGGTACATAATGCACTACGCATGGCCCGTGGACCTGAAAACATAGTAAAGAAACCATGTGCAACATCCTTACCTTTCTCGGATGGTAGGGTACAGCCCTTGCCAGTTTGGAGCTGGAATAATATTGTTGTTATTGATGTTTTGCTGGTGGTACTGCTGGATGGCAGTCGTGTTGCTGTTGGCTGGCTTCTTTCGGGGGAAAATATCAGCAGCCATCTTCTTCTTCTTCTTAGTCTTCAAGGTAATGATTTCATAGCAAACTGGAGGTAACTTGCTGCCGCTGCCACCGCCACCACTGCTGCTACTGTTTACCTTCTTAGAGCTTTTCTTGGACCGGTTCTTAACTGTCTCTGGAAGCATCAAGAAGAAGGTGAGACATTTCATGTTCTTTCCCTTGTCATCTACCATGAGTATCCTTGTCTGTGTAATCAGCTAGCCTAACTAGGTAAACAGCAAGCGCAGGAGATACTAAACAGAAAGCAACAAAGCTGAGATTGTGCTTCTTTTCCAGCAAGGCAAGGTGACCTTTTCCAGTGTGCTGAATAAGGTATTAGCTTTAAGTTTGATCCAGTACTTCATCAGTTAAACTCCTCCCCATCGTGACTCTGAGTTTCATTTGCCTGCAAGAGCTTTCCCCAATCGTCTGCAGACTGGACCACCTGAAACTGCTATGCTGTGGCAAAGCGAGGAGGGCAGCAAGATGAGCTGCCTGTTTGTCGGCTGGCTCGAGTTGTGTGTTGAATGGATCTGCGCGCAGGAGGTGTTAGAGCCCTGCAGATGGAGTCAGACAAGCCATGCTCTAAGCCAATAGCTGAAGTCACGAGTAGCGATTGGACCGGCAGCACAGTGACACCTATTGTAGAAGTGCATCCTTTTAATATTAAAGAGGCAGCAATTGCACTCTCGTTTAATGACTGGTTTAAAGAGTCAGAGCAACTGCTTGCACAAAGTGAATGATACAAATGTGTGTGTTTTATGTAGGTCCTCGACTAATAAATTTCCCTTGATGCCATCTCAATATTCACACAAGGAAATCATTTCAGAGACCAGAAGGAAGTAAGAATGAAGAAAGGGATTCTGTCTGAGCAAAAATGACAAATGTTTGCAAGCACAGCATTAAGCAAGTGCACAGAGCTGCTTCCCCTCTGCCCATAAAGTCTTTCCCTATAATAGAAACTGCTAAATCAGATGGATTTCATATCCAAATTAAAGCAGATTAACTTGCAGTATAAAATGGACTGGTACAGTTTTAACAGTCCCTCTCCGGTGCAGTTTATACTCTAGAGCTTAATGAATAGAGATGAGGTCATCACATTAGCTTTTAACTCACTATGTTTCCTGCTAACTTAACAGTCCTTGATAGACATCCCTAATCACTAAAGAGAAGCTAATTAGGCCAAATTATACAAGAGATGATTGCATAGCATCACAGCAAAGCTTCTACATGTGAATACCCAATACAAATAAATCTAATTAGATACAGTTAAATTTTGTGCAGAGAAGAAAAAAATATCTTTCAACTGAAAGGGTCTCAACTAAAATTTATTACACGATGACCAACAGCTTAACTCATCCCAAGGGGGGGGGGCTGTGAGTACAGGATCTGGGGCTACCCATCTTTCACTGGCACAAAGGAGCAGCTCATCTCTTGCTCTGAGGCCGGTGTCATTCTTTCATTCATGAGAAGATTTTCTTCAGGCAGAGTGAAAGAGCAGGATACAGGGGAGGAGCTGTCACAAGCTGCTTACACTGTACCCAAAGAGCTAAAGCAGGAACGGGTGGATTTTAGGCTTGCAGAATCATTTTTTATTTTTTACATGCTGTTTTTTATTAGAACCCGGCCTTTCACCAGCCAGAACCAGATGCAACAATACTTGTTCAGAACGGAGATGAGAGAAAGGGGCGCCCCTGCTCAGCCCGGGAATTCATGTTCAGTACCTGAACGGAGCTCACAGTCTTACACAGAGCATTCTTGCCCTCCCCCATACCCTCATATCTTTGGTTCTGCAGCCTAAGGTACGCATCAACAGACCTTCTGCTGTACCACATACTAGAGCATTCCTGACTTCCAGAACACAGCTGTGCCAACGAATTGCTGAAATAATGCTCAAAAATACAATGCCAAGCACGTTCCTCACTGTCTCTGGTCCACTATACCTCCATAAGATGCTGGCAGGAACAGGCCATCACCCTCACAAAGAAATTTCAACCCAGTAACTTTGGGCTGCAGTGATGCTACTAATAAATACCAAACTGCCTTTAACTGTCCACTGATTTCTCCTTTCTCCACTCCCAGCAGCTTGCACCGCAGAGATTGCCAGTGTGCTTACTGGTTGAATATGAGCAGGTTTGTAAACAAGGTAATGATACAGAAAGGAGTTTGATGCAAGACTGCTGGAATATAGCAATTACCCCATAAAAGAAACAGAGTTAGACAACTTGGTAGTTACATTAGTCTTGAAGCAAATCACAGGAGTTTCACGTATGACACATACTTTGAGGCATATTCCTTCTTCAACAAATTATAGTGGGTTAATACTGCAGGATATACATGCTCAGGGACCACCACTGTGAGTATTCAAGCGTATCAAGCTCACAGATACTATTACAGATACTAACAGCCTGGTCTAGTTTAAGTGCTGTCGGTCAGAAGATACCACATAAAAAGTCGAAGGGAAACGGAAACTTTCTCCAAGCAGCAACAAGACATCTTCTGCAGACAGCACAGGCGGTGCCGGGCAAGTAACAAGCTCTTCCTTTGCACCAGAGGGAGGATGCCTACACATTGTCCCATGACCTCCAGACAGGGAGCAGAGCTGCAAAAGAACTAAGCACACTCCGTAAATCAGCGTGGGTGCATCAGTGCAGGATAGCGACTTCTGAAAGAATTAGCCCTTGTGGATGCCACCAAAAACTTCATCCCTGTGCAATGTTGTCCCCACTTTCCATATACATTCTGAAGAAACTTACTGCAGGATGAGGTGTTGTCCTGCTCTAAGTTTCCCCTCTTGTGCCATTACTGGGTGGAGAAACGCAACAGAGACATGAGGACACATCTACAAACAAAGAGGAAACCAGTGGTAGGTGTGCTGTTTTGAGTATGGGGCTTGTGACTTCCATAATGGTTGTTGCTCCACCTACAGCATCTTAAACCTACATGTCTGTATAGCTGTAACACAATATGCATTTCAGACATAAAAGGAAGCTGTATCATTTGACAAGCTGGACATCTGCTACCTACTATCCTGTCTATTGCATGGACCAGAAAGTTCTGCAGATTAGTGATAAATTAGCCCTATCTGCTCATCAGACTTGATACCTAACAACACCTTTACCCAGCACTTCACTGCTGCCTCTTGCAATCATAATGCAATGGTACTTATCCACAATACTATAGTGACACTGATCCTAAGAATTCAAAACAACCTTTGAGATTCTGCAAGAATGCACACTAAATGCTCCTTATTGTTGTGATTTTATCCAGAATGCAGCACAATACAATAGTGTGCATAGTTTAAGTAGTGCAGAAGATAGACTCCTAAACACAGCATTAAACATTTATGGCAACATTTCTCCGGTCCTAAATAAATTACTGTACCAAGAAAGGGGGTGGGGGGGGGAGGAGAAAGGTGGGGTGGAGTATCAATTTCAGCTAAAATATTATCTGCTTTATTACAATCCAAAACTTATTTGCTGCTAGCCATTACTGAAAGCCATGATTCAGGAGAGCAAAGGTGCTCAGGGAGAATGGATGTCTGGCAAGAACAATAGCCACAAACATAGCCTAACGGTTTGGAGCTGTAGTTCAACTCCCAAGAGCTATGAACCACATTTATGGCACTAGCTTAGACAGATTTTATTAGCACAAGCAATAAGTGGGTAGTCTTTCCAACAGAGACATATCCAATGATGAGCCATTAAATTGATGCCCTGCTCGTGTAGCTCCAAATCAAGGTCCTTGAAGTGACTAAATAAGTATTACCAAAATAGATCTTCAACATGACGTGACATAAAGGAGCCTTGATTTTAGTCTTTTACACTGCAAATTGACCCAGAGGTGATCCTACTCAGTAAAACAGCCAATCTAAAAATGAGGGTTTGGCCTGTGCTAGATAAGGCAAAACTCCTCTTGAAGACGCATGTTGGTTAATGGTATTCCCCAGGATCCAGCTTTGACCTTAGATAATTATGTGGCAGCCATAGCCAGGAGCAAGTTGGCCCAGTGTAGGCAGATGTGCCAGCCATGCCCATTTCTATAGAAGGCACATCTAGCCATGGTAACTAACCCATGTCCTGGCAACATCTTGACTGGACTACTGCAATGCACACTGTGTCAGGCCTAGTGCTTTTTGAAACGTGCCCTAAACCTCAGCTGCCTTCAAAAACATGGTGGAGAGGCTGTATCAAGAACGTATCAGTGCAATGTTTGAACAACTGCACCGGATCTGTTTCCAGGTCCAATTCAAGTTGCTGGCTATGAGCTTTACAGCCTCATATGGTTTAGGATCACGACAGCTGAATGATAACCTATTCCTAAGTGAGGCTGCCTGCACAGTAAGATCATCAAGAAAGCTGCTTGTGTTGGTTGAAAGACCACTTAGTGTAGCAACAAGGAAGGTGGCGGTTTTTGTGTGTGAGTATATTCAAATTTTGGAATTCAATGTTTGCAGAAATTTTGTCTTTCCCCTTTGTTCATGATCTTGTGCCACAGCACTGAGAATTTTAGCTTTAGCATTTTATAATCTCTATTGCTAGCCACCCTGAACTGTACACAGAAGGAACACACACACACACACTGACAAGGAATTAGATTAATGGTATTTCTACCCCAGCATTGATAGGAGTGGAAAACTGTCCACTGATGTATTTTTCCAAAGAACGACTTCCACTTTTTGGAAGCCTATTTTAGTACTAAAGGATAAAACTGGTTATGATGAATGAATATAATACAGAACTTTTCAGGTGACTATCTCTAAAAAATAAATAAATGGGCACAGCTCTTCAGGAATGCTGAAATTAGTAGATTAATTTCAGTGCCTTTATTTCCCCCTATAAGAGCTAAATAATGTAAAGGAAGTGATGCCATGTCTTAAAATATTTATAAGTAGTCCAATGAAATTATTTTCAAATAAAGCTTTGTATATATTCAGATATAAAAGCAGTAGCAATCCTACTTTAGCAACATTTCCATTGAACTTTTCCTTCTAAAGTCCTAGGGAATCTTGTCTGTAATCACAAAATACAATTAATTAAAACGTTTGCGTGATACCTTACTTCCTCTTTTTTAATTGCTGTTCTATATTGATTTGATTCCCATTGATGTTTCTTTCTTCCATTTGCTTCTGCATCC